GCTAAGAGGTTAGTCAATAGATTGGTCTCTCAATAGGACGGTTTTGATAGGGATGACTGTGCCTCAGGCAGGGGGTTGGACTAGATGTGACCTCTCAAGGTCCTTTCAGCTCCAGTGCTTGTGGGCGGAGAGTCACAAAGAACAACAGCTACACCCTCATAGGCCACAACCCCCCTTACAGCCCAGAGGCACTAACACACTCATGCTCTGCCACACTCAAGACATGCTGCGCAGAGCCCTGTGCTGTTTGCTGGGGAAGCCACTCCTGTCTCCCGGTGCGCGGAGCAGTCCTTTACCTGCCTGGTGTGAGAGTGTGACGCTGGGTTTCACCTTGGGGCCCAGAAACAGCCCCTGCAGAGGCTCTAAAGGGTGCTTAAAACTAGTTTATACATCCAAATGGGTGGACAGTGCAGGGGCTAAGAGCTTCCTGAGCCACCTAAAATTAAGGTATAACAAAGCCCTGAGAAACCAGCATCAATTAATCCAGGACATTTCCCTGGGGGGGGGCAGCATGACCCTACGTTCCTGCCTCACTGCTCAGACACCGCTTGGCTGTTCTCCGGCCCAGCTGGTTGTGGCCCAGATGAACCCAGCCGCCTTAGTCCTGGAAGTGCCCGGGCCAAGGTCTGTGCGCTGGGTCTCAGCCCGGGCAGAGGACAGATAACAAAGCCACCGGGTGAAAGCCAGTGGGCCCTACACCCCCCTCCGGGAGCCCCGCGCACCCTGGGCCTGGGCGACCGCTGCCGATGACCCCAACGGAAGCCAAGGACAGACCCTGGTTCTCTGCAGGTTGCCGGCGGCCCAGGACCCCGGCCCCGGGCAAGCAGAGCTTCGTCCCTCGGGCGCGAGGCTGGGGCTGCCAGGGGCAGGGTCGCACCAGGGACAGAGGGAGAAGCTCCTTCCCCTTCGCCTCCCCAAGGCGCTGCGGCCCGGCGCTTTGCCGCGGGCCTGGCTCTCATACCCCCCCGCACGTCCTGCAGCCTCGCGGCTGGTTCCTGCGGCAGGCTGCGGTGGGCTGGGTGCGGAGTCGGGGCTGCCGGACCGTTGGGGCTGGGTCGGCGGGGCTGGCCGGGCGCTGCACGCGCTGAAGCCGCAGCACTCAGGGCACTCCTACTTCCGCCCCGCTCCGCCACCGGCCAATCAGCGGGCGCCCGGCTCGGCGCGGCGCGGCGCGGGGCGGGGCGAGCGA